GTCAATACAAAGGAAAGCCGTTGTACATTGAAATAAGGGTTCTGGTACTGAAATTTCAAGTTTTTTAGGCTCTCAAAGGTAAGAAAATAAAAAGAACATATGGACTGCAACAAGTGTGGTCTTATGTTATGGCTGCCGATGGTGATTTTTCTTTTGTTGTTAAAGTACATGTCTTCAACGCAGAATGCGTGAAATCTTCAAGACAAGATATACTTTTTACTACCAAATTTGTCGTAATTTCAACTTTGAATTCTCGCTCTCTCTTTTGCTGCATTAATTCCTCGAGCTTGCTTTTGCAATGCTTCTGCATACTTTGGCAAAGTCATTTCATAGCATTATGTATGTAGATATGCTTAGGGAAGTCCATTTCCCATAATTGTTTTTAAAGTTGATATCGATCGATTGAAATTTGAGGAAGCTGAATCTGTTAATGACGCTTGAGGCGATTATCTGCCATGTATACCGCGTAAAATTCTGTGAGGATTGTTATGGTTTTTAAACTGGTAAGTTGCTGGCATACATAGCTGCAAGTGCACATGAACTCATTATTTACAGCTTAAGCAGTGAGAAATTTTTGTATTTTCATCATCCTGAGCCTCAAATCTCGTTCCCCTGTTTCCTCCATCTCATTCGGTCCTTTCCCCTATACCATCATCATCACTTGGCTCCATTTTCTTTCCACCAATCCTCATTCGGTCCTAAAGTTATTAAAAGGTTATGGACTATTTGGAATATTGGAATGAATAAACTTTTTAATGAGTAATTCATCTTTGTTGCAGTCCTAAATTAGGTAGTTGTGATTGTTTAAATCGTTGTAGGATTCTATATATATTTTAGATAGTTTTCTAGTTGTAGTGTATTACTTGAAAGGCAACGATTCTCCTTTCCTTACTACTATAAATAAATGCATAATTGGGTGAGAAATCAGCACCACATAATCACTAAATTCTGTCTTTTCTCTCTTTCTACTATTGGCCTCCTCCCTCTCTTTTCCCTCAATAAAATATGCCTACAACACGTTATTAGCACGCTCTTGACACTGCGCAAAAAAGAGTTTGATCATCTTCACTTTAGGGGAATATTACGTTTTAATCATTTTTATTTTGATTTATTTATTATTTTATTGAGTTGATCTATTTGCTATTAATTCAATTACTTGTTCTTTCAATGTCTATGTTGGACGTAATACAAAGCATTGGAGATAAAATTCCAAATTTTGGGGACAGACCTTCTACAACTAGCATTTAAAGGCTTTCAGCTTTTGTTCGTATAATCTTACTAAAGAAGGAGCCATTTTCATTGTTACTATACTTGCTGTTAAAATTAGGTATGCCTATCGTGGTACCAGTCCTGTTTCCATCCAATCTAGGTTCTTCAAAAACATGAAATCGATATTTTATACCCTGATCATATAAGAACATTCACCATGATGCATGAACTCTCAATTTATCTACGCTTTATTGTCTTATACCGCATATATTGTTCAATATATATCATGTTCATGCATTCGCAATATTTTATTATGTTATTTTTGCTATGCAAAAATTGTATTTTAATCTGCTTTTGGATATTGCTACGGTGAATTGTGTGAGTACAAAAAAAAAAAAAAAACAAATAGAAGCAACTTAAGATTTTTTTGTCAAAATCCTAATTGCATGAAGCCGTTGCACCAAGTCGTTCCTGTCGCGTTGCTCTAGAACGACGCCGTTCGGCTTCAGGTTTTAAAGCCAAATTCCTTGGGCTTGCTATGCGCGGATCTCACGCCCAATGTTTAGGCTAGTTCTTGCTCCACCTCGCACCCATCTCTTGTTCGGGTGCACTGTTCACGGCCCACGCCTATTTTTTAGACTTTCCCAATTGTTTAGCTCGCAGCCATACAACTAAGGTAGATAATTTTTTACACGATCCGTTAACTCGACACAAAAATAACGGTTTTCGCGTCAACCTATTAATGAGGTGGGTTTTTCTCGGGTAACCTATTAACGTGTTAGGTCGCTATGGGATCACCCATTAAAAACTCAATAGGATATTGTTTGCCAGACCTAGACATTAAGCATGACAATTTATTGCATGACCCATTAACACGATATGAAATGACATGACCCGTTAACGAATCGGGTCGTTATGGGTCATCTGTTAAGAACCCTTTATCTTAACGGGCTTGATCTTAACGAGTATGAAACGAAAATGACACGAACACGACCAGTTTCTCAGGCCTACATACAACCCACTATGGGCCAAACATCTATATTTTCTTGCTTTCACGACCAACTCCTGTTTGGTCATGATCTATTGAATTAATCTAGTGATCCGTAGTTCATTACTTTGATTTTTTTTTTGACCCACATCCCACTTTTGTGAATTAATGATTCAATATTTTTTATTTTTTTATTTGAACAATTGACATCCTTTTGTAGTCTCAAAGCCACTCACAATGGGTCCTTAAAGCTACTCACATTTCGTAGTCTTAAAGCTACTCACATTTGAACAGTTGACATCCATTGAAGCCAACAATGGCGTGAATAGAGTTGAATAAGTCTCAGCCATGATCTTCATTTGAACACTTATGCTTGAAGCATTATAAAGGGAAGTACCTTGCTAAAGACGATTTCATGGCTTTGTAGCTCACTCTACAAACAGTTCAGTCATATGACCTTGTCTAAAGCAAAACATGATTGAAACCCTTATGTCCATGAATATGTACAATTCTGAAGTTTATAGAATTTGATCGAATTTTGACTAGAGACGATTTTTCTCGTCCTTCCATGTTTTTACCTTGATCCTGAAGCAACATTGTAGAGAGTAAGTTTACCAAATAAATGAGTTTGATTTGTGTATGTGACTAGTTTGTAGAAATGAAGATAAGTATCCCTATTACTCCTTTTCATCTTTACTAATTTATTTCTGCTCTTTTAAGCACCCCAGGAGTAGGCTTGGCATTCATGTCGTTTTTTATGTGTTTGTGTTATTTTTGTGTCATGCCTAATATCATAACAGGTCATGTCGTGTAACACCCGTTAAAATAAACGGGTAAAATGACCCGACCCGATAATATTAACGGGTAATATGATCCGACCTGTTACCTGTTAAGAAAAATATATTTTAAACCAATAAATAATCAATTGAAAAACATAATACTAAATAAATATATACATATCATATTATCACGTTCAAAACATAAAAACACACTTGTTTTTCAAGTATTACATATTTACATACCAAAAATAAGAGCATAATAAAAAAAATCATTAGAACATTACAAAATATCAAATGTTCAAAAGATTTGCAAAATTAAGGGAGTTATGTTTCAAGGTTTGGAACCTTGAACATTTTCTTACAATCAAATCCTTCAATTTTCATCAATCATCATGGGAAATGGTATTAAAACTTTGGCTTGATATATTGCCTTCAAGAGTTATATTGATGATGTTTTCAATGAGACTTTCCACATTAACACTCTTCCACATAAACTAAGCATAGAAAAACCAAACATTATAAACCATTCAAATTATGAGTACCAAAAATAATTATGAAAAGAATAAAACAATAGTACTATATTATAGAAAATATATGTTACCTTCTTTTCATGAGGGTTTGGAGGGTTTTAAAAATCTAAACGATAATGTAAGTGTAACCACTGTTTATTCGTGGAGGAATGATGAATCACTAGTGTTTATATATTTTTTCACATTTATCATACTTGTAGGCATGTCTTCTTGCCTCTACTAATACTATACTAGTTGATTTTAATTTTGGACAACAACATGTTAAGTACAATTTATTTTAGTAATAATAATAAGAAACTCTCATAATAAAAATAAATAAATGAATAAAACTTAATTTTTCAATCAAAACTCAATGAAATTATCAATTTAACCCTTTAATTAAAATATAACATGAATAAGAATATGGAGCATAAATATAATTTCACACTCCCACATGTAATCCTTATCTACATGTAATCATAATATATCTCTAATTAAAAAATAAAAATAAAAATAAAATTTCCCACTCTCACATTCTTTATCATTCTCTTCCTCTCTTCTTCTATTTCAAAAACAAAAATAAAAAATTTTCTCACACATTTTGTGTGTGCCTATATGCTAGTATTTTACTATTTTATAAGAAAAATTAATAAAAAAATGCTTGAAAACTTTGAGTTTTAACAATAAAGATAAAATAAAGGGTAAAGTGAATAGTACTAGGATTGATTTTTTAGTGTAAAAATATGGTTTTTCGTTAAAGTTAACCGTACTGGGAGCTTTTCGTTAAAGTTTCTTATTTTATAATAATTTTGTTAGTAATTAAACTTTAAAATTATTAAAATAATTTTTTTCTTAACGAGTCAAAACGGATTACTCACATCACATGTTACCTGCGTGTATATCCATTAAGAAAACTCATCCACCAAACTCCCCGAAAGTTTTTTCAGAATACAAAGTCCGACAAACCTCACGCCAATTTGCAAAACAATCTCAAAATTCCCAAGAAACTGAAATCAATTCATAAATCCTTCTATTCAATCCATCTTCTCATTTTATTTAAAGGAAAAATAATGAAAAAAATTTGAAAACTTTGAGTTTTAACGATCAAGACAAAATAAAAGGTAAAGTGAATAATACAATGATTGATTTTTTAGTATAAAAATATAATTTTTCGTTAAAATGAACAGTACTGTAAGCTTTTCGTTAAAGTTTTCTTTATTGAACATTTTTTTTTTTTTTTCTTGTGACTGATGAGCCGTTTGATTGGGAGCTTGGATTATTTATTTATTTATTTTGCTGCAACAACAACTGGGTTCCCCAATCCCACATCAACAGGGACTGGTTGCCTTCTCCTCGATCGGGCTGTTTGTTCAATCATTTCTGCAAATCAACAACTGGGTTTTCCAGTCCGACCTCACCCGGGACTGTAAGTATTAACAACTGGATTTTCTTGACGGTGACAAATCTAACATTTATTTTTAACAAAATCTATCGTTTGACAGAAATAGAAAAAGGCATTCAATATAAAATTAAATCGTAATTAAATGAAATGAGACATGACAAGCAATAACAAAAATGCTACATTTCTTTTCCTAAATCCAGCCAATTACAAAGAACCGAACCCCCATCACGATTCACATTTCCGAAACAAAATCTCCAAGCAAAACCACCCTTTTCATGTGGACTCTTTAGGTACCCTTTTGAGACGTTTCCACTCTTTGACATTATTCTTTTCTTTCTGAATTATCCTGACGGCTTTTGCTTTGTCTGGACTATGAACTAGGTTAATTAATTCAATATAAGGGGCATGCAATCTAGTGATATTTGTACTTGCCTACAAGGTTGAGTTTGGTATATTATTTGGGTGATAAGGAAGCAAGTACTAAGATTCTCCATGGTGGTTTTGGGGGGTTTGAATATAAACCATCATGCCTTGATAGTGGTTCACCTTTCGTTGCAGATGGGTTGTATATTTTGGCTTTCTGGATGCTTTTGAGGCCAGCATTCTTGATGGAACTTGTTCTTACCAAATGGGTATGCGCATTTCTACTGTGCTGTTGGCTCTTCGTTTCTGGAGTGTACTCAGGTGAATTCCAATGCCATTAATTTCTTGAATTATTTGGTTGGCTAGTTTTGATAAAGGCACAATCTTGAAAAAATATTTTTAAAATGTGATTATCTAATTCTGTTTTTCTTTTGTAATTGTTACGTGTTCTGTTTATTGGTCCAAGTGGAGGGATTGCGTGGGGACTCTAAAGTGAGAGGGGTGAACTTGGGAGGGTGGTTGGTTGTGGAAGGTTGGATTAAGCCTTCACTTTTTGATGACATTCCCAATGAAGACATGCTGGTGAGTTTCTTTTTTCCAGAGCTTTTGCTTAATTATATTTTTATTTTTGGGTTTTCCTTGTTGCTATTCGAGCGATACATTACACTAAATTAATCTAAACTACGGGGAGAGGGTTTGAACTTGAGTGCAACTTGGGGTTTTCTTATCGATGCAGTTGACCCATTTGTGGATAACATGTAGGATGGAACACAGGTACAGCTAAAGTCAGTCACCTTGGAGAAGTACGTCTCTGCTGAAAATGGTGGAGGGATGAATGTCTCAGTTGATAGAGATATTGCATCTTCATGGGAAACCTTTAGGGTACTCTATTCAAATAGTTCATGCCTGTAATCTGTTGGTTGTTAGCTTATATGTGGGAAATCTCAAGTATTTTCTAACTAAACGTATTGGTTAAGCCCCTTATGCTCACTCCCTCAACATACGGTCGGTTCCTAAGCCCTTATCCACTGTAATGGAGGGACAGACTAAAATCATTACTATTGTTTAGATTATAATTTCTCTAAGGAGGGGGAAGTAATTATATATATATATATTATAAGAATGCGTTTGTTGAGAAATTGGACTCAATAAAATCGCGGTCCTTATTACTATTTTTCTGTTCTGCTTCAGTTATGGAGAGTTTCTGAGTCAGAATTTCAGTTTCGCACCTTGCAAGGACAGTTTCTAACATGTGATGGAGAAGGTTGCTTTTTTTCTGCTGCAGAACCACCTCCAACACTAGGAACCTTTAACATTGAAAGAAATAACAATGGTAGAGTTCACATCAGAACAATAAATGGCACATATTTGCAGGTTTGTTTTCTTGAGATATTTGCCTTTATGCTGTGTAAAGAATGAAAATAACCCAGCTCTTTATGTTTAGAGTGAATAATTGTGTGTTCGTATGCTCTTCGTCCTACTACCATTCATCTAAGAGCGTGTTTAAACATCCTTGACTCCTTCCCTTTGGTGGATTAGATGTCAACCTTAAACTTTTCATCATGAAATATGTTTCCATTGGGAAATCATTTATATTTTGGGATTGTTTATTTTCTGATTGAACATTTTGTGAAAGTTGAGATGTCACTGAATGGAGGATGTTTTGCTGAATTTTCAATAAAACCTAAGGCTTGAATCAAGGTAGACTCTTATGCTCCATTTATTTGAAGAAATGAGTCGAAGTAGAAAAAAAATCTTCTGAAGGTGACCTGGTTCCAAGGAATATTGAAGTGTTTGGTTTTGCACGAAAATTCCATGAATTTAGTGAAAGCCTCAAAGTTAAGCAATTATAGTTCATGTCAGTCTTTAAAATCTGTGAAGATTTGTAGTGTTTTCCACAATCTGACACCCAAGGGAATGCAATAATTAGGAAAGTTGGATAACTTCTATACTTCGACCTATTGGTATCGCCAATTAGAATGGGCTCTTCCGATGTTGATTTTGCTGAAGAGTTATGAACGTTGAATCTATGTTTATTTGCATGTCCGCTGCCTCCTCATAGACTGTCTAAGAATCCAAATTAAAACATTGTTTCCTCTAGGCTACACTGCAAACTCAGCTAACGGCAGACTATCCGGGGAAGCCAGGATGGGAAGATAATGCAGCCACATTTGAGATTACAATTGTTGCTAACACCTTGCATGGAGATTACCAGCTTACAAATGGATATGGATACAGTAAGGCCAAAGATATTCTTAAGGTAACTCTTCGCTACTCTCCATTGGCTGTTGCAATGGATGTTTTACACACGTATTTTATTTTATTCGATACTCAACGTTATAGTTTTCAGATTAGAACAACTAATTACTGTAGCTTTCTTGTCTGTTTGTTTATTTGATCTTTGGATCTTTTTAAAATGTAGAGGCATAGAAACAGTTTCATCACTGTAGGAGATTTCAGTTTTCTGTATAGACATGGAATAAATACTGTGCGGGTTCCTGTTGGCTGGTGGATTGCTTATGATCCTGATCCTCCTGCACCATTTATCGGTGGAACTTTGGAAGCTCTAGATAATGCATTCTCGTGGGCACAGTAGGTCTTTCTTTCACCTAATTCTCTTCAGATAAAAGTTAAAACTCCACATTTGGTTCTGGCGTCATACATTAGAACTGTGCTGCAGAGCCTATAATATTAAGTGCATAATTGATCTTCACGCGGCTCCTGGATCCCAGAACGGGATGGAACATAGTGCTAGTAGAGATGGTTCGACAGACTGGCCTAATCCTGATTACATTTCACAGACACTGCACGTTATAGATTTCCTAGCTTCCAGGTATGTCCTTAATGTATTTTTGAATTGCTACGTTGTAGATCCAGCTATAGATTTTACACACTTGCATATGCCATCTTACCTTTTTGGCACCTGTGGTGTATCTGCTACATGAAATTGAGGGCAGGGATGCGAAACGCTGATTTTTTTTTTTTTTTCGTTTGCAGGTATGCAAGGCATCCTGCTTTGCTGGGAATCGAGCTTTTAAATGAACCATCTGCAGCCGCAGTTCCATTGGATACTTTAGTTTCGTATTACAAACAAGGCTATCAAATTGTTCGGAAATACTCATCAGCCACTTACGTAATAGTTTGCCAAAGAATTGGCAATGCGGACCCATTGGAACTTTATCAGGCTAACATAGACTCACATCATCTAGTGGTGGATTTGCATTATTACAATCTTTTTGATAATTTCTTTGTTAATATGAGTGCTGTGGACAATATGCAATTTATATACAAGAGCAGGGAAGCTCAATTACAGGCCCTCAACAGTGCAAACGGTCCACTTGTTCTTATCGGTAAGGCAAGACCTCCTTTCTCCTTTCTCCCTTCTCCTGAAAAACGATTTTTTACTTCAAGGTCTTGTTCTGTGAAATCGGAGCCAAATTTTCTCATTTTCTTGTACAAAAATTCGGCTTCTGTAGGTTTCAAGTGGTTGAGTTATATTAATTGGTAAAAGATTGGATTTGTTTGCAGGAGAGTGGGTGAATGAATGGAACGTGACAAATGGCTCTCAGACAGATTATCAAGACTTTGGGAGGGTTCAGTTAGAGGTTTATAATTTGGCTTCCTTCGGATGGGCATACTGGACACTGAAAAACGACAGACCACACTGGGATTTTGAATGGAACATCAAGAACAATTGTCTCCAGTTGGGTAATTTTCTTGGACTCATGTAATCATTGCTATAACAACTGATAGGTAAGTAAGTCGTACTCAATTTGGTCTCTGATTACATCAACCATGTCAGTAACAGAATGTTATTAATATTTATGCAGGGAATTCGCCCAAAAACTGGAATGTTAACGGTCTAGTGTTGCTTGGATCAGCATATGTATCATTCTATCTGCATAATATATTGTGAAATATCATACCTGAGATGCATCATGGCTCAGCAACCGGAGAGGATATCTGTTTGCAGGTTTTTATTCTTCTTTCTTGCTCAACAACGATGGCATTTATATCGTTCCATATTGTTTTGCAAATTTGCTGAGTCGAATAACAAAATTGTGGAAAAAAGAGTATCTACAGAAAATGTCAATGAATTTGTAACAGCTTTGAGGCTATATGTATTACATCCTTTGCAAAAATATATAGGAAATTTTTTTTGTCCTAATTCCTCTTTTCTCACACTATTATGCAACGAATGAATGTCAGCTGAACTCATTCTATTAGTTAAAGCCAGCTTTTGTAAACCATAATATATAGTCTCTTGACCACCTGGCCGACGAAAATATATCCTACAAAAAGCACCACCAAAAATCCAAAGTATGATAGCGGAAGCTCAACGAATCCCATCACATCCCCAATTGGTGTGAAAGGAATAGCAATTCCGATGGCGGAAATCAGAACCGTGGAACAAAGCACAGGCCATGAGGCAATCTCCTGAATGAATGGAATTTTCTCTGTCCGGATCAAGTGGATGATCAGAGTCTGCATCAGAAGCCCTTCGATGAACCAAGCAGAATGGAAGAACACAATGTCATCCAGACTGTCAGCCTTATAATAGAACCAAAGGAACATAAGTGTGCTTACGTCAAAGAGAGTACACACAGGACCATTCCACAGAATGAACATCGGTAAGCCTTTCTTCGACCATTTTTGTGGGACATTTACATAATCTTCTTCCATTTTGTCCCATGGAATTGCGATCTGCCCAACACTATACAAGAAGTTCTGCGTAAGAAGCTGTCGTGGAGTCAATGGTTCATACTTGAGACACAAGGTTGCTATGAGAATTGAGAGAACGCTTCCTAGATTGGCAATTACTGACATTTTTATGTACTTCATTGTGTTCCCAAAAGTAAGTCGACCGTGCTCAACTCCAGCGGTGAGGACATTGAGGTCCTTCTCCAGTAATATAATGTCAGCAAAGTCTTTTGCAACTGATACTCCTGAATCAATTGATATACCAACATTGGCTGCATCCAGTGCAAGCGAGTCATTGACTCCATCTCCTAAGAAGCCAACAGTGTGGTTTCCAACTGTCTGCAGGGACTGCACAACTCGGAGTTTCTGTGTTGGGGTGAGTCGAGCTAGTACAGTTGCTCTTTTAACCGTCTCATGAAAGGAATCTTGGTCGAGTAACTCAAGCTCTGGCCCTGTAACTACATGGGTGGTTCTGATACCAACTTCTTTGCATACTCTAATTGATAGGGCGAGCGAGTCACCTGTCAAGACCTTTGCTTTCACTCCCTTCTCAGCCAACCGCCACAGAGCTTGCTTTGCTGAGTCCTTGGGTGGGTCAAAGAATGTTATGAGGCCGAGGAAAACCATGTCTGATTCAAAAGTTTCATCATCATCTCTGCATTGATAATTCGTTTCCTGCATTGTGACAAAAATTGTCAGGTTAGTAAACATTGTAAATGTACAATTGAGCACAACTTATTTTCTTTTTGGTGTAACATTTTCACATTTCTGTTCTAGTTCATTAATCCGTAGTTGCTTGTTTATTATTTTCCAGGCAAATGTATATCATACAATATATGAAAGAAGTAGTTCCAAATTCAGTATAAAAACTATGAAACGTACCAAAATTTTGAAAGAAATAAATAGATGCAATTGAATACAAAAAAGTGCAGAAATTGAGCAAGAAAGAATTCTAGACGCACTGTTCCCAGCCTCTTTATTGCCACCCCAATAACTCTGAGTCCCTCATAGCTAATTTCTTCTGTCAGATTTAAAATCCTCTGATAGTGTTCTGTAGAGAAAGTTATATTCGTTTCCCCGTCAACATCCTCTATAAAAGAACAAACTTTCATCACTTCTTCCAGAGCTCCTTTTGTCACCACAATTCTGTCGGAAATGTGGTGGCTTCTGTCTTCTGCCTCTCTCTCCATGATAATAGCTACTCTTCTTCTTATGAAATCAAAAGGAATCTCATCTATTTTCTTCCATTTCGAAGGCTGGAACTTGTATCCATTGGTATATACATGTGCCAAAATTGCATCGTCAAGGGGATACTTCTGGTCGGTCTTGAAATAGGAGTTGAGGAAAGCAAACTGTAAAACCTTTTCCTTCTGTAACCCCCAGCTGTCCAGATGATTAACCATTATTGCACGGTTCATGGTGAGCGTACCGGTCTTGTCAATGCATAAGATATCCCTGCAACAAACCGAACACAGAAAATGACTACTAAACTACGAAAGTTCAAGTGAAACACTTCGATGATAAGAAATTACAGTTACATTGCCTGCTGCAATTCTAAGATATACGTTCACATGCACGCACACACCCATTTGATTGATACTTACATAGATCCCATGTCCCGTATCGCAGTTAAGCTTTTGATTATGCATCTGTCTTTGGCCATAGCAAGTGCTCCTTTCGCGAGACTTGTGTTAACAATGAGAGGAAGCATTTGAGGAGTGAGTGCACTTGCCACTGAGACTCCGAAAAGGATGCTCTCAGTCAGATCATGAGATGTAGTGTAGTCAGTTACAACTATGATGGTGACTACTACAAGCATAACAGCAACCAGAACGTAAGATATTTTGCGGACACCATCCTCAAATTCATTTGGTGGTTTCTTCTTTCCTATGTTTGAAAACATGGTGCTCATGTACGTCTTGGATCCGGTGGACACCACTAGACCAGCTCCACCGCCCGATACTACATTTGTTCCCTGAATTATTTACACAAGGAAATACGTCAATTTGCGAGGTTCAACTTCAACCTTGATGTTACATATACGCTACCAAAATTTCGAGCATAGTTAGAGCAAAATGACAGCTACTACTGTACCCACCATGAAGCAAATATTCCGTAAATCTAGCAATGGAGTGCTCGAATCTTCTCTGATATCAGCTGTTTTCTCAGTTGTCCAGGACTCTCCTGTTAATGAGGACTGACTGTTCAAGAAGCATATTTGAGTGATCATTTAACCTAAAAGTTGTCTGTACTGATGGGAAGAATGACATAAAACAATTCACAAATCTCATTTTTACGACAGCAAGCATTAGAGGCGCTATACCTTACAACAAGGTGTTTCGTAGACAGAAGCCTCACATCACCAGGAAAGAGGTCTCCAGGTTCGAAAATGACAATGTCGCCAGGAACGACATCTCTTTGATCAATTTGTACAACTAATTCGGTCTGAACAACTCTACCTGCACATCTTTGAACTTTGACCGGGCACCTTACGAATTCTGAGAGTTTCATGGCCGCTTTTGAACTGCCATATTCCTGAAAGGAGCATGGAAAACTAGTCTTAGTCATATGCTTGATATAGAAAGCTATGGCGCATATTTGATCGAAGGAATTAGGCAAGGATTACCTGATAGAATCGAAGGGAGACACTTATGAAGACCAAAACAAGCATGATACATCCATTCGGGCTATCACTGGTTATGTACGAGATTACAGACAAGACGATCAATATGATATTAAAAGGATGAAAGAAAGCATTCCACAAAATACGCCACCAGCTCAGAAAAGAATAATCCACAGGAACATTCGGGCCATTTTCCTTCAATCTCCGCTCAGCTTCAGTAAAGCTCAATCCTGAAGAGAAGCAAAAGTCCGTAGCTGGTATAAGATTTCGAGGAGCAATATGTTGTTTCAAGAATCATCCTGAGAGAATTTGAAACCGGACACACTTTGGGGTGAACACCCATCCGAACAAGTAGGGTCGATAGTTTAAGCATTTAGGCCAAATTTGCTCCCATTTCGAGTCAAGAGACAGATAAATAGACTCATCCCGTTGCACTGATCGGGGGAGTAATGTTCGACTTATAAAATTTACATTAGCCTTATTCTTATGGATTGGTCAAATACTGCAAAATGCACCGAGTACGTAAATCCTCGAATTCATCAGAGAAATTTCCTATATCTTGGCATTTTATCGATCATTTTAAATGCTACCAACTTCCTCATATTTTCTTTCAGATCGCAAATAAAATAACCATGTAAATTTATAAATTACATAACGTCTTCAATCATTTTCTTGTACACACACTTGCATCTATAAGAAAAACAAATCATAGATTTCCCATTTCCTTGTAACTTTGATTACTAAAGAACATAGAAGATAAGGTGCGTAATTAAGGACACTTACCCCTTTCAGTGGATCGAACATACTCGAAAACCAAATCCTTGTCGGACTGCGCCAAGGCGTATAACCAAGAGTAGAGCTTCTCCTCTGCCTCAGTCCTTGATCCCCCATCAATTTTTCCTGCACATTCCACACAAACAACAAAATCCCACATCAGAAACAGCCCAAGTACCAAATCATGAATTCATTTCCAAATTAAAACATTAAAGAAGCAAGCAATTCCAACCCACCTCCAGACATAAGCCTGCGAAGTAGTCGAAAGAGCTTGTTGGGGACACCATCTTTCGGCGTTTCAGAGTTGTTTACGAGGTTTTCGCGAATCGGGTTGTAGTAAGGAAGGTTGTGATTATTTGAACTGAAAATGCTAGGGGTTTTGAACCATCTCATATTATCAGATTAAGCAGCGGCTTTTGGGAATGCCAAAGAGACATCAAATGTACGACTGGCGACGACAAGTGTGGAGAAGAAGTTTGCATTTTTATTGGAAAGTATATGTTTGAAGATTGGATCTTTGAAGAGAAGGTAGAGAAGATAAACAATTAAAATTTGGGCCTTTTTGTTTAACTATTTTGGTGGAATTTGAGCTGAAATTTGAGGTGCTTTTGCTTCTTGTGTGGGATTCTTTTGGAGTTTCTCTCTCTAGGACCATAAGGCTGAGGACTCTCCCTCTCAAACTTCAGCTACCAGACTTCCAGATGACGGTTAGGTTGGTTATATAAGTTTGATGAGGAGTTGCTGACTCTCTCAATTCTCAAAGTCGTCGCAGTAGGATTAATATAAAATTTAAAAGTGAATAATACAAAGTCGTCGCTAGGGTTACGGAGATCTAAGTCTAAGCTGCATGCAATGACTTGTAATAACGTGGTATCAACTCGCTATCTACGAGGGTTATATTTAAGATATACAACTTACAAGTAATAAGGAATATTATTAAATTGTAGTACTACTATCGTCTTTTAACCCATACTGACATCATCAATTTAAATATTTGCATGAGACGTGCGATGACGTTTTCTTGATTTCGATAATAATTGGCTTTGCAACTGAGCAATTTAGTGGTAATTTTGTCAACTTATACATAGCAAATTTTAGGTTCTTACTCTTTTTAGATGGCAAGTTTGATACCAAAATTACTATAGCCATCTCATTGTGTGACTTATTCAAATTGGAGTGCTAATAACAATTTTCAAATAAAAATAAAAATAATTGTTGGAACCAAATTCGCACCTCTGTGAGTAGTGGTTGAGCACAAATTCGAGCAACTTGCAACACAGTGAAAGAACTGTGAGCAAGCCCAAGGCCGGGGTAGGGGGCGGGGCGTGTCGACCAAAGGCTCTTTGATGGTCAAGTTAGTGAATGATTTTAGACTTAAGCAATAGGCAAGAGAAATCAAGTGTTTAGATTGTGTTACCCTAGATGAACCCTAGATAAGTGTATTTATATCGTGGGGAGATAAACCATTTTAGGATATAATCCTCATTCTAAGTCAGGAGAATCATAGAGGATATCTAAGAGTAGATATTGCATCATTTTAGGAGTTGTGATTACTTGTGGCGCACGTCAATTCCTAGATTGGGAACTTCAAGATTTATAGGATCTGAGTGTGTCCATATCCGTATCAGATCGCATCTCTTACAGAACAAAAATGGTCATCCAACAAAGTCACTAGGACTCCGTCTAGTGCCCTGGAGTAGAGTAATTGTGGCATTGCTACTTCTTCTGATACAGGTCCACTCGGAGTTGGTAAGTCCATGACCGGACTTTTAAGGTAACTGTATTCAGATCAGACTTACTCCTACTTTGAAAAATCATGGTCCCATAATTGCCCTTAACTATCCATCTAAGAGGCAACCTGTTCCCTTTGAGGATGGATCATGCCTACCAATTCTTTTGCTCAATTTGATGTTCTTGCTAGTCCCAAACCTCCCATTGTTAGGGTTCAAAAAAGAGAGAAGAGGAACTCTTTCTCGCGGGTCGCAACCATCTCTTTAATAGGTGTTGAGTCTAGTAGGAAGACACTGATGATGTGACTGGTGATTTCCCCATACCTTCTAATCACATTCGTCCTTGTACCATAATCTATCCCTGTTATCTTGATTTGGGGCTGAGATTTCCTTTGTTGTAGTTGCGGAAAGAGATACTAGTGCATTTCTAAACCGGCATTTGTAACCTCACTCTAACGTCTATCTGCATCATCTCATGCTTTGATCGCCTAAATAAGTAGTATCATACTAAACTAGGTTTGTCTGAATTTCATGTCTTTTACACATTTCGAAAGAGCGCCGAGACTTGTTATTATTTTGAATCTCAATCTACACTTTGGTGGCTAGTTTACATTACCAACCTGCCTGGTCAGAACAAAGACTGGTATAGGGACATTCTTTTGGTAGAGGGGAACTGGTAGGGTAATAATATTTGGACCAAAAATTCTCTGTAAGCCTAGAAGCAAGGTTGATTACAAAATTGATGAACAGAATCTCAACTGGTGTCATTCTGAGTTTATCGGTAGGGATTTTGACATCATTCTTACTCTGCATTGGAGTTGGAAATGAGGGCACATAAAGGATGATATCATTGACATTTGCTCTAACCATCATATTCTTAACTTAGCATGGGTTGCAACTAAGAATGCTTTGAAGCCACCAAAACGTACTAAAGGTGTATTTGGGCGGAGAAGAAAAAGAAAAGAAAGGAATCAGAAGGGGTGGCTCCGAAAGTGATTTTTGCTAAGGCATCTAAAAAGAAAATTAGGCTAGTAAGCGGCTCCAGATGTGGCTAGGTTATAGCATAATGACTGTTGATCTCATCTCTTCGGCCAATGATAATTCACAGTAAACTCTTGTAGTTCTTGGCGGAGAAAAAGGTAAGTCCATTATTGAGGAGGTGCCAACGTCAGGGCAAAAGTCTTTGAAGAGGCAACTGCAACCTTCTGTGTCTCCACATTTCGACTCAGTGGCTATCCCTTCCAGTAATAAAGTTTTGGCATAAGATTTGATTGATTAGACGCTAGAAGGGCCATCCACTCTCTCTGACGCTAATGGAGAAGTATCTGATGAAGCGTCTTGCTTTGTGTTACGACTCTTGTTGGGTTGGTACCACTTCCCTTAGACGTAAATGGTTTTCAAGATGTGGGGCATGGTCGGGCTCTGATTTGTTCTCCTATTTCCCTTGCCAATTTTAGGGGGATGATGTATGTGGAAAACCTTCAAGAGAAGTGTTACCAAAGCAGATATGCGGTTAGCCTTCCTAACTTTCTTATTTCCCATGTTGGTCATTGCTTATTTGTCTTTTTTTTTTTCTTATACTTACCCCTATGCATCTATCTTCAAGCAAATGCTTAGACCGAAACCCTGATCCGTGCCCGAGCAGACGAAATTTAAGCTTGAGGCTACTTACAAGAGTAAGTTGGGTGACATGATTAAATATGAGCAAGACTCACAGGAAAAAGACACCAGGCTTAAGGCCTTTTTGAATGTGGAGTAAACTTGGAATACTGAGAGGGAGGCTTTGAAGGCGTGCTTAGACGAGGCAGAAAGGTTGTTGGCGTCAGAGTAGAGTTTATGGGATGCCGATAAATCTATTCTCCAGTCAGACTTAGATGCTGCTTATGAGGAGGTGAGTCGAGTTGAGAAGATCCAAGCAAAATCCTTTCAGTAGAATAAAGGTGATATTGCGGAGCTACGATGAAAGTATTAAGAGGACATCATGAAGGAGTATAATTAGGGCTATCTTGATGACTACATTGGTCAAGACCACCGTGATCAGTGGGATACTGCTCGTTTGCTGGAGGAATACAAGGAGCTGACTCGATGGTGCCTTCTTCGCTCGCAGTTGATGCGTCAATGCTCGCCTTGTCGGAATAGAGTGAGTCTTCTTCTGAATCTGACAAGCCACAGAAGGAGAGAGATATCGTTATCACATAAGTCTTTTCTGTTAGTTCTTCTCCGACTAATTCTGAGGGTGCAACGAATGCTGATAGCCTGGAATAATCACCTTGTGTGTTTTATTGGGCCAGAATAAAGGCATGTCCTATTCCTAATAGAACTTTTTTGCCCCAGTCCAGGCTTTCAATCTTTTGGCTTTATATGAGAGCCTTTTTCTTAGTATACATATTTTATTGTTATACCTGTCGTTTGGGTTTTATTCTGCTAGGCGTGTCTTTGGCCTGGTCAAATCTCCAAAGTAAGCTAACTTTGGGATGGTGGGATACAAAACAGAGTACGAGTAATCTTGTTGGCTCAGAACATAGTCTAACAACTCCCCTTGATGATGTTGATTTGGAAGGACATCATGTCACAAGTTTAGTGTCTGCAGAGGTACCCACTGCAATATATGGAATTTCACCTACTTCGGTTCTTTGTATTTGAACCCATGAAGAACCTATTGCCTTATCCTTGTCTTTTTACTAGACTGAAGATGATGGTATTTTGAAATTAAGAATGTCCTCCTGTTTATCTATCCCTTTTGCCCCCTTATTAAGGGTTATTCGAATGTTGCATTGCAATGTGACTTTTAGGAGTATATTTTCTTTAACTCATGTTGCGTGTCCATCTCCAATGAATCTTAAACAAAGTTCTTTAGAGACTTGGTCGCCTTCATATGGGTCGGAAAGACTTTTTGAATTCTTTTTGTTAAACCTTATGCATTGGGCCTGAGCTTTTCTAATCGGACTACCTTGGTTGGCTCGACCAAGGTATTTCCGTGTATTGGAGCTCCGTTGAAATAAAATTCTTCTTGGAGATTGCCTAGTCTAGATGCGCCGTTCGAACTTACTATGACACACCCTGATCCAGAATGTCCACTAGGACTCCGAATCGAGCTATGCTGGTCGACAACTGGAAGGTGACGAAGCCATAAAGTGTAGTGATGTGGAAAATGTGAATAAATTTAAACCTAAAAGTGCCTAAATACAAGAGTGCTCTAGTGAGAGGGAATGAACCCATTTCACACGTGATGTCAGAGTATAAGTAAAGTACAGTAGAATGAATTGAGAATTATACCATTGGAGGTAGTCTCCAATACCATATTTGTCAAGAATCATTGTCGATACAAAATGTCAGCTGATAAACCTGGAGGGGTGAAAAACAAAGGTGAGTGGGCCTAAAAATAAAGTTTTGTAAAAATCTTTTCGAAAACATAATAACCCATTTCCGTAAAACAAGTATAATTTCCAAAATATACATACCACATATAGTAAGAAAGTACTTACCGTACCCTGCAATAGCTCGAGAATTCAATACAGCATAATATTTCGTAAGTAAATGCATGACGTCTGTAATCAACATAATCTCGCATAAGCAAACATATCATATCAAGTGCTCATTGACACATGTTGACACACAAGTTCATGCAGAGATATTTTAACATGAACAAGACTGGGTGTAACTATAATATACAGTACTACAATCATGTGAAGACTGGCGCTATACGCAGCACATACGAGTCTTAATTGCCTATAGTCGGATAAGACTGGCACCTACATTGGATCCAAAGTGAGTGTATGGTGCGATGTGCACATACACGTGAAAGTCTGGCCCTGGCCCAGGCGAGTACTAACACTGGTGCATCAAATGATGAGTAGAAAACATAAATATAGTTATGCCACAATGATTCGATAATTCTAGTCAACATAATAGTATTCATGGCCGTGATTCTAATTGAGGCACCCTGTAGAATTTATAAT